ACATTTTGTTCATTATTATTACAAGTTGATGGAAATCTTGACAAGATAAACAAAATTTGGTTAGGGAGAACTCGGAAAATATTTTAAGCTTTGAAAAGACTTGAATGTACTTAGTTGTAAAGTTGATTTTTGCTGAATTAAAAGCTTACCATTTTAGGCAATATTTATGAAATGACCCTTCTAATTTGGTCTTTTTATGCTGAGACAATTTTCTCTTTCTTTTTTCTTTCTCTTCTTTTATGTTCATGAGTAATTACCAATTCATCAACAGACGAAACATGGAGGGTGACAGGGAGAAGGCATTAGCAGTTATCACAAAAGCTTTAGAGAAGAAAGAAAATCAAGTTCCGGACATGGTGTGTTTGTGTGGCCGTATTTACAAGGTACTGTAAGCTTGTTTTTTGTACAATGTTTTGAATTGTAATGATTTATAGAACTCAACAATATCATATTGTTAACTTACAAGTATTATTTTTCTTATTGTAAGTAGTAATTGTATATTTTTTAGATTTGTAATAGTTCTGATATTTTTTCTTTTGTTCTTTTATCTCTCTTATTTTTTCCTTCTTATTTTCCCTTTTCTCCTTTTCTTGCAGGATAAATTTGTAGAATCCCAACATACAGACCAGGAAAGTTTGCACAATGCCATTTATTGGTACAGAAAAGGCTTTGAGGAACAGCCAAATGAATACGCGGGAATCAATTTGGCAACGCTTCTTGTCATCGATGGCAATGACTTCTCAAAATCAGCTGAGCTGCAGCATATTGGTGAGAAAAGGATAATGAAACATTGACTAGAATTTTAGCATATTTTCAGAGAATACTGTCCTATGTAAAATTGCCCTGTGTAAAATTATTTTGGTTGCTTTTCCTTTATGTAATAAGATTTGGAATGTTTAGTTTAGTGTTAGTGATTCTTTGATTAGAGTAATTTTCTTTTCAGTCTCCATGAGCTAAAATGAGATTATTTTTTCTCCCAAGTACTAGGTATGCTTTCTCAAAACATGCTTAGAACAGCTTATCCATAGATAGAAAGAACATAGGAAAAGAATAGAGATAAGAATAGATTTTACAGCATTTGAATTTTCAGGAATGGTCCTCAACAATCTCATTGGCAAGAAGGGCTCACTGTCATCTTTACAAGATTACTGGGATGTGGCAACCTTTTTCGAGATCAGTGTGCTGGCAGAAGACTATGGCAAAGCGATCCAGGCAGCAGAGTGCATGTTTAAGCTTAAACCTCCCAATTGGTAGGTGTGCCTTTATTATTTATTTATTTATTTATTTTATTAATGTTATTTTTTTAATGAATCCCGACTCTGCAACAAGTTTCTACTTTTTTATGGATGTATAATATTTATTTATTATTTCCACCATTTATTTATATTTGTACATACATGTGTATTCTTTTTCATGTGAAGGTTGATGTAATGAAAATGCTGTGTCCTCCCCTCAGGTACTTAAAGTCCACCATTGGCAACATCATGCTCATCAATAGGTTTAGGAAGCGATCAGAAGACAACGAGCCAACTCCAGAAGAGAATATCTTCAATTTCTGGATTGACTACTTCGTGGAGGGCACCAAGACAGAGTTGGGGGATGTCATCCGCTTTCCAGTAAGGAACGAGCAAGTTTTGTCTCTAGCGCTTAAGGATTCCTTAGTTGTTTTGTAGTATATTCATGAATATGCCACAAAAAATTACATACAACAGTTTGGTAGTTTTTGAGGTATAGAGCATTTGGTATTTCAGATGATAAACATAAAGATTCATAAGAAAAAAAAAATGCTTGCTGCTTAAACAATTAAATGAAGTCTTACACCCAATCCTTTTCACAGATTCTGATATTGGAACCAACGGGGATGTACCAGCCAAGCTATTATTTACCCAGCTATGTGACTGCCAACCTTGGAGCTGAAGAGAAAAGCATCCAGCTCTCAAATCTCTGTATTGACAGAATGAAGGGAATATGTAGACGTGTTCATGAGTGGCTCTTCACTGCCAGCAGCATCAAGTCAATAACGTAAGGAAATGCAAATGGGTTTGGTGACACTGTTAATCCTCCTTCTCAGATCACAGTTATCATTATTATTGCTTAACCCATTCGTCCCGGGTGTCACATATATGAGACACTGTGAATGCAAATTGGAATTTTATCAATTTCTATATTCTTCCAGGTTGTACAAACGGGATGAGCGTGCAGTGTTCCTATATGTGCAAGAAAACTCGGATGACTTCCAGATGTTCTTCCCATCAGAGCAGTGTAGACAGATCTTCTTCCGATTGGTGTTGGAGCTGACAGCCAACCAGAAGGGGACTGTCATGGACCTGGAAGCAGAATTCTCCTCTGGACCCATTCAGGTATGTGTGGCGGCCCCTTGTGACCAGGCCTTCGCCTGGTCCTAGATGTTGTATTCTTACCTATTTTTTAGAGATTGAAAGTGTTCTGGATTTTTTTGTTAAATTTCATTTGTTATTTGTATTTATCCTCTTTTTATTATCTATATATATATTTTTTTATTTTTTATTTTTATGTATTTATTTTTTATTTTATATATTTTTTTAAGTCTTATGCTAATATAGTGTTGATATGGAACTGCTCTTTGATAAGCTTGATTTTCACATTGTTTCATGTTGATTTAGATTTGTTACATAAGGTAGAATTGTCCTTAATTTTTATTCAATGCCTGAACAGGATTTAAAAATTTATTAAAATCTTTACCTTTACCACAGTATGAATATGAATTAGAAGACAGTGGAAAGCGCCTAATACTAGGAAAAGGTACATATGGTGTAGTGTATGCAGCAAGAGATCTGAACACACAAGTCAGAATTGCTGTGAAGGAAGTCCCAGAGAAAAATATAGGGTGAGTAAAAATATCTAGAGAAATATCTTTTCAAACAATCACTAGTTTTATTGTCTTGTTAAAACAATTTTAGTTATTGATATTTTTGTGCCTACAATACCTGCATAGTGCTATGTAATCATTTCAAGCTTGAGGCAGTTAATTTTTGTGTGTTTTTTATAATTATAATTACTCCCACACTATGGATATGATGGTTATTATTACGTCATCTAATGTTTGATAGTTATTAATTGGTTATTGTAAATGTTTACATATTATATCACTATTATTATTGTTTATATATAGCTTGTTAATGTCTTTTTCATATCTTTAGGGAAGTCCAGCCTCTGCATGAAGAAATCAAACTCCACTCGGAGCTCCGCCACCGTAACATTGTACAGTACCTAGGGACAGTGTCAGAGGATGGTTTCTTCAAGATCTTCATGGAGCAGGTTCCAGGAGGGTCTCTCTCTGCTTTGCTTAGGTCAAAGTGGGGGCCCCTCAAGGAAAATGAGGCAACTATTGCCTACTACACAAAGCAGATCTTGGAAGGATTGAAGTATCTGCATGATCAGAAAATAGTTCATAGGGATATTAAAGGTAGGATTTTTTGGAGGTCAGTTATGTTTCTGTATGGGATATCAATGGAGAAAAGTGGCCTGTGTTGTCATATACTCTGTGTCGTACTTATATTTATATTATCTAAGAAAATAATAATTAATTTTCTTTTATATGTGATATTTCACTTCTTGCACTAACAAGCATTTTATTCTACAGGTGATAATGTTCTAGTCAATACTTACACGGGAGTTGTCAAGATCTCAGACTTTGGTACCTCAAAACGTCTAGCTGGAGTGTGCTTGAGCACAGAGACCTTCACTGGCACCTTACAGTACATGGCTCCTGAAGTCATTGACAAGGGAGCCAGAGGATATGGAGCTCCAGTTAGTATTAAGAAATATGTGATACCTACCTGCTGAGTAAATTTTTTATCACTTCCCCCCCCCCTCATATACCTTGTAACTACTGTATATTATGTGTGTTATTCCCTTTTTTATAGAATTAAAAGATGGTTCATTGGGGATTTATGTATGACTATGACTATGTAATTATTTTGTTCTTGTATCTTAGGCTGACATCTGGTCACTCGGCTGCACAATTGTGGAAATGGCAACAGGGAAACCTCCTTTCATAGAGCTTGGCTCTCCTGAGGCAGCCATGTTTAAGGTAAGGACTGAATATAAAATATAGTACCAGCAAAGTCTCTGTGTTGTTAAGTAAGTTATCAGTTCAAGAGTTTTGAATAGTGATGTACATGAAATATGTACATGCATGATATATACATAAATAGGAAATATGAAGGAAGATTGTAGGAAAGGATGTTGAGTAGCCAGCAAATATTGAAGGGAGTATGTAGGAAGATCTTTAAGAGAAATCAGTTGTTGGTGTGATGGTATCCCTACATATTCCAAGAGTAAGAATATAACAGATTGTAAAATTCCATCTAATCTGGCAAACTCAGATGTTAATGATATTTTATTATTAAACTGAATTAGGCCATAGTTAAAATGGTAGTATCATCTAGAAGGAAAAAGTCAGGATTTAGCCACTAAAAGATTGAATCATACCCCCTTTTTATCCCTCTCGCCTTCCCATTTTTCCCCCCACATAGGTTGGCTTATACAAGATGCACCCAGACATCCCTGAACAACTGAGTGAAAAGGCGCGCAGCTTCATCCTTCGCTGCTTTGAGCCTGACCCCAATAAGAGGGCAACTGCTGCCCAGCTGCTAGAAGACCCGTTCCTGACTGAGTACGACACGTAGGACTGCAGGCCTCTTCCGTAGTGGCATGCGGAATGTTTTTTTGTTATTCCATAAAGCTCTCAGTATTCAGATGAGATTTTTAAAACTCATCCACTGCACTCGGCATTGTGTCAGGATTGAGGAATATGCATTTTTATGGCAGGCAAAACTGGTTGATAAAAAACTGCTTTAAAATAGTTGAAACTGAAACACAAAATTAATTGATATATTATTCTTATAAATTTTGGTTAGTTTTTCTCTGTAATGCATTCATTTGGTGAATACTGAATATAGTTTGCATGAAAATTAGAGGGATAATCTTACCAGTTTTTCCTACAATTAAATTATGGGTTAATGAGAAATCAAGATAATATTACTTTTTCAGATACAAACATACACAGCCATACTTACACACTCATACATATACGCAAACGGACATGAACATACACAAACATTCACAGACACAGACCTACAGACCTACACAGACCACACAGACCTACACAGACACAGACCTACACAGACACAGACCTACACAGACACAGACACACACCGACACACACACACACACACACAAACACACACACACACACACACACACACACAACACACACAACACAAACACATACACAACACACACAACACAACACACACAACACAACACACACACAAACACAACACACACACACACACACACACACACACACACACACACACACACACACAGCACACACACACACACACACACACACACACACACACACACACACACACACACACACACACATACATACATACATACACACACACACACACACACACACACACACACACACACACAGACACACACACACAGACATACCACACACAGACATACCCACACACAGACATACCACACCACAGACACACACAGACATACCCACACACAGACATACCACACAGACATACACCCACACACAGACATACCCACCACAGACATACCACACACACACAGGACATACCCACACACAGACACACACCAGACATACCCACACACAGGAGGACACATACCCACACACAGACATACCCACACACATACATACCCACACACAGACATACCCACACACACACATACCCACACATACACATACATACCACACACACATACATACCACACACACACACACACACACACACACACACACACACACACACACACACACACACACACACACACACACACACACACACACACACACACACACACACACACACACACACACACATACACACATTAATTCACATCCTGAGCCATTTTTTCTCACCTGATTTTTATAAGGAATAAACCATATAAGAGAGCATGGCATTGGACATGTTAATATGTGAATATCTCCAGTATACATCTTAGCATGCATATACATATATTTTATGCTTGAAGAAGTAAACCAAATGCAGGAAATCATGCACATTTCCTTCAAATTGCATGTCATTTTGGATATATTCTTCAAAATATAAAAGAAAAAGAAATAACAAGTATGATCAAATTAAAATCCAGGAAAATGTCTAACATTAAAGTGTATTTTTACAAGCTTTTGAAGTTGTACTGCTGGTGATATGGAATGCAGTGAAATTTACAGTTTGATGTATTAACTTCAGCTCTTAAAAATATGGTTGTCCTGCATGATGCTACTGCAGATATGCTGTATTTTATTACTTCCATAAATCTCAGTTTTAAAAAGAATCCTGAATATCTCACACCTTAGAATGGCTTTATGAGATTCACATCCTATTTTTGATAACTTCAGCACCTTTCCTAACTCCATTTTACCCAACATTACAATACGTTAACATAAAGACACCTTTAACACAACCAAAGCCATTTAAAATGTCACTCTACTTCTTGATAATATAAATGCAATATACTTTGAATATGCTGCATGAGCTGTTCATGAACCTAATGTCTGATTTCGATGTAAATGCGGCAATGAGGATTTATTTCTGAGGGATCTTTATATAAGTGAAATTTCCTTTCCTGGTTTGCTTGTTATTGCTCTTTAGTTGACATTAGGCACAATTTCATTACCAGAAAAAAAAAAAAAAAAAAAAAAAAAAATCCAAGTTAGAATGACAGAAAAAGGAAAAGACAAAATGAGAGGCTTTTCATATATTTCTATCTTCAGTGATCTTTCCCGCAAATATGATGTGATGGCATTTATATTCGCCAGATATCTGAGAGTCAGAAATACAATAAGAATTTAAGGTTGGGGAATGTAAAAGTAGGGCTGGTAACCAAATTTGTGGAGGTTTTTTGATGAATTTGAATTTTTACTAATTTTCGAACACAAAAAGAAATTATGATCATGATTTCAGATTGGGAAGGAAGAAGAAGGGCATGCGCCTGACAAACCAGCAGGAATTCTCTCGCAGTGTGTCTGTCCCGGCTGACCGCAGCATCCGTCAGCATGGCGATAAGTGCCGTTTAGCCAGCTCTCCCGACGATGGGCAAGTATTTTCCAAGAAAAGATATACATTTGGGTCTTAACCATACCCTTCCTTTCTTTTTTAAGAATTATTGCTTCTTTTTTATTTTCTTCTTCAGGGTAAATTTCATATAAATGGAATTAGCTGTCATTAATTATTTTCTTTTTTCCACACTTTATTTCTAACTTAAATTGATGGAAGAATAATTTGATGATGTCTTTTGATTTTAGGATTGAATTCTGCCTGCCTTCAAATATATATAATATGCATGATAAATTCAGTCACTAGATACCTGAACAGTGATATGAGGATAGTTATGTTGCTCCATTGTAATTTTTTTTCTTGTCTGTCTCTTTGAGTCTCAAATATAAAGATATAAGGCAGTGTTCTTAAACTTGAGGACAGTGACACAGATGTGACCCTATGATTATGACTGCATGAATTGGTTCTCCTTATCATCATGATTGTAAGGAGATGAATAGCAGAAATAGCCTTTTGTCCAAGATTATGAGTGATTATATATCATGAGATTCCTTGCCTATTATAGTGGCTGCTAAAAGGAAAGCTTTGCTAGCTTGTTGTAATGTGAATATGCATGATATTATTTTATTTTATATATTTTTAAAATTCTCTCTTCTTTCACAATTCTCTTGTCAATTTTTATTTAAGAAGTACACTCTTTTCTAGTTCTTCCACTATTTTTTTTATTATTACACATTCCAAACAGTGTATAAATGAATATGTAGATCACCACAAAGTGGAGGAAAAGGGAAGTAGGCATAGAATATGTAGTATAGATTGAATTTAAAGAAAGGAGGGACATGCTGTGGTAGAGGAACAGAAGTTGTACTGATTTAAAGACCAGATTTGTTGCTTAGATGTGATGAAATAGTGTAGTAAAGCAGTGATGATGCATTTATGGTGTTCTCTCTCTGTCTGTCTCTCTGTCTCTCTGTCTCTGTCTGTCTGTCTCTGTCTCTCTGTTTGTCTCTCTCTCTCTCTGTTTGTCTCTCTCTCTCTCTCTCTCTCTCTCTCTCTCTCTCTCTCTCTCTCTCTCTCTCTCTCTCTCTCTCTCTCTCTCTCTCTCTCTCTCTCTCTCTCTCTTTCTTTCTTCTTCTTTCTTTCTTTCTTCTTCTTTCTTTTCTTTCTTTCTCCTCTCTCTCTCTCTCTCTCTCTCTCTCTCTCTCTCTCTCTCTCTCTCTCTCTCTCTCTCTCTCTCTCTCTCTCTCTCTCTCTCTCTCTCTCTCTCTCTCTCTCTCTCTCTCTCTCTCTCTCTCTCTCTCTCTCTCTCTTTCTTTCTTTCTTTCTTTCTTTCTTTCTTTCTTTATTCTTTTCTTTCTCTCTTTCTCTCTCTTTCTCTCTCTCCCTTTTCCTGCCCTCCTGACCTTCCTTTCTTTCTCATATATATATAACACTGCTTTGGCTCTAGATTCTTAGCACCATGCATTCTGATATCCATCCTAGCATTTATGATCCCAATATTTGTGAGGTGGGCATTTATACGCTGCTAGGGGTTTTCTTTGTTTGGTGGTACAATGTGGAAAAGAAAAGATGTCCTTGTAGAGTGAGGATTCTTGGGTTGAAAAGGAATATAACTGTTACAAAAAATATTTGAACTATTTTGTTTACTCTTTCTTCAAGATGAGGCAGAGATTGGGTATTGGAATAAAATATTGTTTGATTATCTCCACTGTGGGAGTAACCCTCCCTATTTTTGCTGTCATTATTATTGTCATTATTAGGGCAATTGCAAAGAAATATGCAATAATTTCCTGTGTCATATGAAGGTTCCATCAAATAGAATAGGTTCTAATTTTTTCTGTTTGTTGCCATGCCTTACAATAATCACCTTTCCTTATCAGTTGCACTCTATTCACTTTTTGACAGAACTCTTCTTTTCAATTAAATAACTACAAATACTTTTTTTACGTGCTGCTGTTAATTTTTCCTTGTTCTTTCACAAGGCACATTTAAGGAGCTAAGCAATTTTTAAATACATTTACGGCTTTCACCAGCTAATTTAAAGCTTTAATGATTCATTTTATAATTAACATGAAGTGAATAAATAAAACTGACTTTAACCCCCTCCCCATCATCTCTCACCAGGCATATTTCATCTCTCAAAATCTCCCCTCACTCTCAATTTTGCTGCTTTTGCTCTGCCCTTCTGCCCTCAAAAATGAAGAAAAAAAAGATTATCTCCTACCTTTAGCCTTCTCAACCACCACACTGTACCCTTGGCATGTGTGTGATAGCTGCCTCTCTGTGTTGTAGCCTAGAGTTCGGGTATGGGTATGGTTCCCGTTGCAACACAGCTGGCAGCCCCAGTGTCTCCCCAGCCTCCCCCTCCTCCTACCTCTCATCTCTCTCATACACCAGGTAAACAACCTACAGGCTCACTTTTCTGCACTTATTTTTATCATTAAAACTTGATATGTTTTTTGCTGATATACTAGAGTACAGGATTTTTTTTTTCCCCAAAAGTAAAATCTTTGTGTGTGCACTTGTATTGTCCATATGCTTTTTTTGATTTAATGAGATATAATGCATTCTAGATTGACTTTTGATTTGTGCTTGATTGATAATTTCAGTGTAAAGATGTGATTTATTTATTTATTCATTCATTTATTAAATATTGTGGCTTCACTGTTTTTGAAATGTAATAAAGGTGATTCTCAAAGCTTCATGAGCATTGCATAAGTGTTTTTTATAATATATATGTGATTCATAGTTATTGGTGTGGTCTTATTTTTGTAGTGTTATATGATGCATATGTAAATTTTTTTTGCAATAGAATTAGATGCCTAGATTAAAGCTAAAAATAGAGTTCAGTGTGAGGTTTCAGGTGTAATAGCATAAAGTAATTAATTGATAATAATAATAGGACTTGCATGTTGTTATAGTAAAAAGCACTGATAGATTTGAAGTGTTTTTTTACTGTCTTTGGTTAACAATTTCCACAATGTATTTTAGTTATGTTTTGATAGCATCATTGAACAGTATTTCTTGGATATAAGCCCCTTGTGTTTATGGGTCTCAAAATGTCAGACATAAAAGGTATTAATGATACTTGTAGTGGAAGTGCATTTCAGTGTTTTGTAAGTTTCATCAGTTTAGAATACTAATAATTTCTCCCGATATGAAAAAGTAGCTGTAACACAATATTTTATTTAGGTTACCTGAATAGAGGAATTCACAGTCTGTCAAGTTTGTATTCTAATGACTCCTCTTCCATGATCTTCAGATTGATATTATATTGATTTTATATATAAGAACAGAGGCTTTAAAATCCCATGTTTATAGTCAAGTAAATACTGTGTTATTTTTGTTAAAGTTTCTTATGATCTCATATTCCAATTCCTAGACTCAACCAATTTGTAACTGACTTCACATAGCCTTCTTCTGTTGAAAATCAAGTACTAAAAAGTTGTTTGTGAAAGCATTACCATTTTCATAAACAGCTCAGTTATGACTGGTTCTGATCTCGATGATGCTCTCATGACCCGACGTTCCTCAAGCAGTGGTCTTCTCTCGCCTGATGTGGAGTCACCAAGGACAGATGGGGTGAGTGGATGAGGATGCTTCTGATGTTGTTCTCTGTTCTGCTATTATTTTATTCTGTCAAAGACAAATCCCAGACTCTGTGACTTTTTGTGAATACCACCCTTGGTCTTGATGTGATACTAAAACGCATATGGAAGTTTAGTACAATTTCTAAGACTAAATAAAGGTGTTCATTATCATTATCACTGAATAATAGAAAGTTATTTGTAGGGACTGTTTGCCTGGAAGTCAAAGGTAGTAGATGTATCCTTTTGAATTTTTGTCTTCTGAAAGTAGAACATAGTTTTTTAAAAATTGATGTATATACATGTGAAAAGGAGAGAGAAGGTTTGTGGTAAAGTATATCTTATTATCCCCAGGAGCAGGATGGATTCTACCTTTTGAAAAAAGATTCTCAGCGACGGACAACTCTCACCAAAGTGTTGGTTCATGATCAACAAAAGATTGTTCAAATTTGGTTCCAGCGTCTGCAGCAGGAACTGGGCAGTGCCAAGTTATTACTCACTCAGGTAGGTCTAACCCTTATTTGACTTTAGGGTCATCAACAGTAATATTTTGTATTTTTATTTAGATGCGTAATTTTGTTCTGGGGCTCTTTTGCCTTTATAAGATTCACAATATGCTTTGCTTTCTCTCAACAGGACCAGTTAGTGGTTATAATGGTTGGTCTGCGTGAATACATCCCGGAGCAGAAGAAATTAGCCATAGAGCAAGCCTTTGCATCCCTCAAGAATGAGACTGAATTTGAGGAGACTGTGAATCAGATACATTTGGCGCTTTACACTTTCCAAGATGCTGTGAGCGTTGTATATTTTTATTTCTTGTTTATTTTATTGTTTACTTGTTTGATTTTCTTTTGTAATATTCAGTAATCATTCAGTGATATTGCTTTGTTTATTGCTTTCTTCACTCAGCCACCCTCAGATTTCAAGGAAAATAAAAGTATTTTCTCTCCACTTCCTTCAGGTGAATGATGTTTTAAAGAGTCACAGCATAAAACCTCACTGGATGTTTGCCCTTGACAACCTGGTGAGGAGCTCTGTACACTGTGCCATCACTGTTCTCTCTCCAGGTGAGGAAATTACAATTTTCTTTTCAATGTCCCACAGAACGATCCTGTTCTCTTGTTTCAAAGGATTGCACTAGATACAGATATACTTTGATTTATGGAAAGACTATCCTGTTTTTGATATTGCCAGTGAACCTGATGTGTAAGAATGTTATTAGAAAATAAACTCTTCCTAGACAGACCAGTGATTCTAAAGTTAGTTACTATAGTATATTTACCAAAAGAAAATATAGCATTGTAACTTTTGAAACTGCAAGTACATAAAGTATTCCCATCAAAAAATATTATAACTTTATTTTTAGAAAGTAACCCAATTTTTTCTTCTTCTTTTTTATAAAATCAATGGTATCTTAACAAACATTCATCCAGGTTATTGCTTTTACAAATTATTTCAGACCATGAGAGCCTACTAGGTTCCCCAGATGAGAACATTGGCGTGCTGGGGGGGAGCCCTGGGAGACCACATGATGCAGTTGAGGAAGGCAGCACTTCAGGTGTGTCCACCATCAACTCTACTAAGTCGGCCAAGTTACTCCATGACTTCCACCACTCAAAGCAGTGCCACCAGCTGCAGGAGAAGTTCCAAGCAGCCAGGGCGGAGAATCTCAGGTTTGTGAAGAGCTGTGGATTTGCCTAGTGAAAGTGTGATTTTGTTTGTAAAGGAGAAACACGGGGGGAGAGGGAGTGAGAGAGTGAGTGTGACTATATTGTTTTCCTTTCTTTCTCTTCCTTTTCTTTATTACCTCCAGTTTCTTTATCTTTGCTTGTAGATTGATTTATTTCAAATTTTTGTTATAATCTCAAACTGGTTTGGTGCTTCACTGATCAATTCGCTATCTTCTCCTCAGGTTGCTAGAAGAGCTCTCTCTGGCAGAGAAACGGTATGGGGACCTGCTGAAGATGTACCTGTCTGACCGGCGTGAACAGAGCCGCCTCCTGGCTGAGCAGTTGGGTGTGCCCCTACCACCTGTTCTTAAGCCAGAGGAGAGCAAAGCGGAGGGTGACAATGTGGCTGAAAGCACAGAGAATATCGGCAGTGCAGAGAATACTTGTAGTAAGAGACGCTGTGTTGAAGTCCGAGGAGAAGAGTTAGAATCGCCTGCTGGTACCATGGGGTCGCAATCAAGTGCTGAGACAGTGACTGGAGAGGTGAGAGAGAGAGAGAGTGAGGGTATTGAAAGAGTATTATCCGCATTGCTCTAATTGTTTGGCAAAGAGCATTTTATTTTTGTAATTTATGAATTAATTTCATTATTCTTTTTTTCATATTAAGGCCTCAGTGAATCTGTGCCTTTTTTCTATTTTACCTTATCTGTGTCATGTACTAATTTCTTTAGTTTGAAGTTTGTGTATTACTCTCCTTACCCATAACCCTCTCCCTCCACCAGAGTATTCCTGAGGATGCTGCCTCCCCATCACTTGCCCACAATCCTCATGAACCCCCCATGATCCACGTGTCCTCTCGCAACATCGATATGGAGTTGGTTGCTTGGCTTCAGGCACTGTCAATTGATCGTGATGTTATTGATAAGGTATGTAGACCAAGTGCTGAAAACCTTAACTTGAATTTTGAAGTATGGTGTCAGTGCACCCATTTATTGTTCAGTTCTGCTTTTCTAAATTACTGCATGCAGTGATGTTCCAGATTCTGAAAAATATGAATGTAATGTGCAGTATTTGGTGCAAACATCCAACAGTAGACAGTGGAAAAAATGGATTCCCAGTCAGGTATCAAAATTTAGTACCCCCTACAAAGTACAAATTTTAAAAGAGAAGGAAGAAGTCTGTAAATGCATGAAATATTGATGATTATGATATTGCAACATATCAGTGAAGCAGTAAGGATGACATTATTTGTCTATTTGGGTAAAATGTTTTTTTGTGTAGAACAGTTAAGAAAAAATCTATGTAGAATAGGCACCATGATTTTTATTAAAAGTGGTCAGATGATGTGAAAACAATACTTAAGCAAATTGATTTATCAATTATCAGGTTAGGATAGAGCATTTATTCAGTCAGTTCCTGATCCCTTCATCTTAACATTTAACCCCTTGGATCCGGTTGTATGACAGAAATCACGGAGCTGAAAACCCCGGGCAATGGGTTGCGTAAGTGGCCAGCATCCTGGGCATGTGGCGCGTAGGCTGGCCACGCACGAAGACCCATGAGGGTGACAAAATTGTGCCTCCCCTTTGAAAAGTTATTTTGTGTAAAGTTTTAAAACTTTGTCATTTTCCAGTGTCTGTGTTTGTCTTTTGATTTGTTTTAACCAGATGGTAATTACTTATTTTTCCTTGCACAGACTTCATATTATCTCTTATGTATTAAATAGCTCAGTGCAAGAAATTTTATGTAATACAACCTGTGCTGCCAGTCACAGCGGCAGGAAAATGGTGCACAGTATGGAAGTGGCGTCCTCCTAGGAATCCTCGATCTTTCAGTCACTGCTTACGCACGTTACATTCCACATTCATTTATTGGGAATAATGCTAAAGCCCCCTTTTAAATGCCAAATGAGTCAAATCACACTCCAAGAGGTTTGTACACTCATGGCAAGTCTTTTCCGTCACCCTGACTTATTCACGTCACCCGGGCAGCTGCCAAGGTTTTCCTTGAAGTGACCACAATGTCATCTGGGTCCAAGAGGTCAATATTCTTTGATTATTTTTATTTTATTTATTTATTATTTATTTTATGCAAACAAATGAAAAACAAACTAAAAATAGATATAATGAATATAAAACTTAACATTTCATTGTATGATTATGATAAAGAAAATCAGTGAATTGTACAAATCAAATGGAATTTTAAAGATAAAACTTCATAAGGAATGTTTGCATCATTAGATTGAATGAATTATGATATAAACTGCCTTCCGTAATCCACTTTTCCACAGTGACACACACGCACATACACGCACACACACATACACGAACACACACATACACACACACACACACACTTACACGCACATACACAGATACTCTTACACATACACGGACAGTCATACACATACACTACACATACACAGACACTCATACACATACACAGACACTCATACACATACACAGACACTCATACACATACATGGATACTCATACACACACACTGATACTCATACACATACATGGACACATACACATACACGGACACTCATACACATACACGGACACTCATACACATACACGCACACTCATACACATACACGCACACTCATACACATACATGCATGCTCATACACACATACACATACATGCACACTCATACACACATACACATATTCACATACTCACACACTCGAATGCACACACACACACACACACACACACACACACACACACACACACACACACACACACACACACACACACACACACACACACACACACACACACACACACACACACAGTCACATTTTTATTTATGGTCTCTGATTTTAGTTTCCAGACTTCAAATTTCTCTCATTTCCAGTTTCTAGCTGAGGACTATACCAAAGATGATGTTCTTCTCTGGATGACTAGAGATGACCTCAGGAGAATGCAGATGAGGTGAGATTTTGTTTTGTTGTGAAATTTGTAGGATACTAAGACGATGCCTTGGAAGATCTTTTTTCTTTACAATAAGAGATGTGATCTTTTGCAATCCAAATTAAGTAAATTCTTAGGGTAGTCGGGCTTTTCATAGTTTGACAAAACTACCAAAGATGTATTTTGTTCTCAACCTTAGCCCAAAAAGTTTTTCTAAATGATTTCTACCTGTGGCAGAGGGGGAGTGGAATTGCGCATCTGGCGTAATGTCGTGCAGTACCGCCATTCTCAGGGCCTACCAGTCAATCCTGAAGAGCCCTCTGCATCTTGCAACACCCCCAAATCAAGCTCTTCTGACTCGCATCCCCGTTCAACCAAATTATGAAAGAGGGTTGTGTGCCTGTGCTGGTGGTGAAGCAGTCACAGGTTCTTGTGGGAAAATTAAAGAAGGATTTTTATGGGAGGCAAATTAGCACCTCCTAATTTTTTTTTATTATTATTTTTTTTTTTTGGGGGGGGGGGCTTTTTTTGGATTGAAAGAAAATATAATATTCAGATTTAGCATTGTTAATAATGATATATAAAAACAAACAAAAAAATTAAGGTAAACTTTTAATGAGCTTCTGCGACAGTGCATTTAGTAAACTTCTAGAGCACACAATACAAGGAGAAGGAGTCGCCAGGGGATGTATAATGCATTACGTATGATTAATTGCACTAATTGCCTAGCCTTCAACCTCTAGCATTGGGTCAGAGGGTCACATGGAGTCAGATATAATTTGCTTCATATGGTGCTAACAGTACATAGTGTTTATGGCAGTTTCAACAACTGTGTGTGAGTTTGTGTGTGCAAGAACTTGAACATGTATGTGCTTTCTCTTTGTGTGTGTGTTTTGTTTTCTTTTGCTTGCTTATAATATTTGGTGCTTGATATGCCTTACAGAGTTATGGCATTGGTTATGTGTTGATTTTTGAATGTCATCATATGTGTAAGTTTTGCAGGATAGAAGAAAGTCTACAGAGAAAATTAACTAAAAATTTACTTTTTTAAGGGGATAAGGAGGAAGGATGTAGCTTCCATTTGATAAATTGAACAAATCTCATATATAATGAAATCCTACTGGATAACCTTTCCATTATTCTGATAATAAGTCAAGAGAACATTGCATGTTCTTGAGTTTTTCATTTGCTGTTTTATGTGAAGGTTGTTAAAATAAAAGCCTTAAATTAAATGATAAGCACATTTTGTATGTGGATTGGGTATAGGAGATAAAAGCAGTTTATCTCGCTTATCAAATTATAGATGTGAAATTTTAGTTCTTTGCAAATGAAGATTTATATTTTGATGTTTTGTTTTGATATATATATAGATATATATTGTATATAGGACAGAGAGAGAAACAAAAGAAAGATGGATATATAGATATATATATTATTATGCAGATGTAATTATGCAATATTAGATTAGATCTGGCTCCATATGAACACAGTAATGGCCACTAATCTACAATAGTATTTTTATAATATAGTAACTAGTAATTGATAGATACTGTGTTTGCCCTCTCTTGGGGTCATCATCAGGTGGAGAAAAAAAACGTTGATAAAACATTTCGACCATAACACCAAGCCCCTTCAGTGATATGTGATGATCTGACTTGGAGACAGTCATGCTTTAGGGTTACAATTTTATCCCTAAGGTTTATGTCTATCCCAGAAATAAAGATGGTGAAAAAGAGAAGCATATCAGATCGTACTGGGTTTCTTCCTTTTAGGTTACATTTAAAGTAATTGGTAAAGAACATCTTATTTGCTTTTCCAAACCAACACTGCCAAGATTCTTCCTTAATTAGATACACAGAGGTTAGCTGTGGAAACTCAGTTCCTTTGAGACAGTCTGTCTGATAGCTAGGTATATTTGTACTTGTTGATAATGGATGCATTCATGTTGTTGGTTCTATTGTACTGGGAAAGTAGATGAAGTGTCTAAGGGGTTGTCTTTAATATTTTTCTGTTGTACAAAAAAAAAGAAGGAAGGTTTTCCATTGTGTGTATCCTAAAGTGACTAACACTGTAACAAAAAATCTTAGTATGTATTATTGTTTTACTTTGGAAATTTTTGAAAAAGTGAAGGGCAGTTTTTATGCAAAGAAGTTAAAATTGTGTGTGTGTAGTTGTAGTTCTTTAGATTGCCATTCTTTGCTTTCTAGCAAAAAGCTTGTACATAGACATTATTCTCATGAGTTGTCTTGTGGTACATTTGATATTTTCTTATGGCAGTTTCTTGGGACTAGACTAATTCCCAGGCTCACTTCTCACCAAGGGAAGTGAGTACCAATGAAGATTTGTATGTGGCAACCTTGCCTGCTCCTTTCATTGGTGTCCTCCCTCTACTGCTGTGATTATTGGACAGTATTGACTCCTCAATACTTCACAGTTCCTGACAATATGTGCTTTATTAGTCATTGCCTTTTATTTTATGTAAGGTGAGGAGGGAATAGGTCATCATGTTTTTTTTAGTCCCATTTTGACACTAGTATGGCTCCTGCTTAGTTAGTGAATTGTTAGTATTTTTCTCAGCATCATATGCAAAGTTTTATCTGTGAATTCTCATTTAACTTGATATTAAATATTCTTTTAGATCTTAAAGCACTTCTATCTAAAATATTTATGTAGCTGTCGTAATAGAGTTGCAAACCTTGATATGTATATTTTCAGATATGCAGTAGTACAAATAAATAGAGGCAGATGTTATATTTGATTTTTTTTCTTTCTTTATGTCTTTCTTTTTCTTTTGTATAGGAAGATGATTATATGTGGATTGTAGGTAAAGAAGATGTAGCTTTGCAGTCTTCCAGACTCACCACACTAAATGATATCTATTTTATAGGCACTGATGTTCATTTTGTTCTCACTACTCTACTCTTTGAAAAGCTTTCATGTATATTAGGCTGTTTCCTTTTTTATGATAGGTATGTTATGGCACATTATATGTATTCACACCTTGGCTTTCAGAATGAGGTTTTTATTCATTTTCAACATAGAACTGCCCAGGTATGTAACAGCTATTTCCATTTCTTCTTGAGGATAAGTAGTCATGCCTGTTGATAGTTTCATGTGCCATATAATCAGAATATAGGTATTGACTGTAGATAATACATTTTATGACTATGAGTTTGTGTATTTTATATTTAGTGCTCAATACTATCTTGCCAATGACTCTCTAGGTGCGACTACATTGCCTTATGGTTGCACCCTATCTGCAATTAACTGTATTTTCATTTATTTTAATAGTTAAGCCTTCATGTTACTAGGCTGAAGCCAGTCCCTGTCTGGGTTGCAAGGTCATTTATGTAGCCTTATTGCAGTTATGCTAGATTATTATTGGAGAAAGTGTGATGAAATATATGGAAATTATTTAGATCATAGGTACAATGAAAAACACAATACCGTGTACTTTAAAGAACAACAAAAAATGTAAATGTTATCAGTATTTAGATATTCAAATTTTGTTTCTTGTTCATAATTTACAATCAAATATTTTTAACCATTACTGTACATCTATTCTTGCCATAACGAGCTGAAGCCAAATGCAGATTTGCAAAGATACACACTATGTGAAGTCGGTCAACTCCAAGTTATTTGCCCTGAACAGTTGTACACTTTGGCTCAGAGTGTGACAGTTTAGGAGCTGCAGCCAAGCGCACAGGTATATATGTGCTCCCCAAGCTTCTAATTTTTAGCTGAATGCGTGTGTTGCCCAGCACATAGCTTGGTTTGGCAAGCAGAAATCCCACTACTGTTGAGTTGGATAAAGTACATGTGAACCACTTGCTTCCAACACAAAAAAGGTTTTATACATGTTCAGTTGGTGAGATGAATTTATGCTCTAATTTTGAAGCAGCAAATGAGGTAAATAATTTTTAATGTTTTTACTCTTGGTAAATCAAATTTAACCCATTCATGCTGGGTACAATGATAAGCCACAGACACTGGGTGACATATAATGATGTGAACCTGTTTCCTGGTGGCCAGGATGGCAGCTTATGAGCCGGACAACAATAGCTCAGGTGTGGAGCAGTGTGTTGCAAATATACTCAGGCCTTGCCAAACATTACCCAAAATTTTACCAAGTTGTGAATGGGTTAAGTTTGGTAATTTTACATTCAGATGCACATTGATTATAGTGAGGTCATGAGATTAAGGATTGAACTGGCATGATATCAATGTTCTGTGTGTGTATATATAGTGACTTACCTCAAAAATATATATTTTAAAATTAATGCTGTTGAGTTGAGGAAAGAGTGTAAATCGAAGATATTTATTTGTGTAATAAAGAGATTCAGATGTGATACTCCTGAACTGCAATTATACAGACTGTAAACAGAAAATATTCAATTTCTTTGTAGTTTTTGGAGTGCTGGTTGAATTCATGTTTTACAGTGTATATTGAGACTCAACCATAACACTACAGAGTGAATCTTGTCACAGATCAGGTTGATTACTGGTGTTAATCCACTTGTTGCAATAACTGAAGAAGAATTTAGAGGCTTTATAGAATAGAATTCAATACTCTGGGTTCAATTTTCTAGCATGGTAATCTTCTGTGAAGAATGTTTATTTAGTATGAATTTTATGTACAAAGGTATATTTCATTTCTGATCTTTTTTATTTAACTTTCATTTTTCTTTTTGTCATTACAAAAGACAACTAACGACACAGGTCTTTAGTCTCTATACGTATTATTCCTTCATTGCTATTCTTCAGTGTTGATGAGTCGGCCAAAGTAGAGGTTATTGGAAGCACGTCTGCAGAGGAAGATACATGAAACATTTATTGAAAACATAAAGGGAGCCATTGCTCAAATTTGTGATGAAGCAGTGTAACAGACATGAAAAAACCAACCACAAGGAGTATTGTTTTTTTGGATAAAAAAAAATTGAATGGGAAAAGTTTGTCAGTTATAAAGAATATTTTTTAAAAATTGTGTATTTTTGGATGCATTTTTGTCTTTACCGGGAGTATTTAGCCACAATTATTTTTAGAACCATATCTCTCATGGTACATTACTCAGAAATTGTTTTTATATCCCACTTTCTAGTTAATTAATGATCCAGAGTTTTTAATTATATTAAGCTGTGGTTGTTTTGTGTTTAAAGTTGTGAGTGAGACAGTTTCATTTTTAGGAGTGGGCACATTTATGTTTGATTAGTTCCCAAACAATGATGCTTAACAAAGTTTTGTGCCAGTTTGTAAGCTCAGAAGTTTTACTTTAGAAGATCATGCTTTTGAAGGATATGGTGTAAGGAATCTCATGTATTGAGGCTGTAATAAAAAAATTGTTTTTCAGTATTTGGTCTTATTTACCAATATAAAATTTGTGAGTACATGTGCAAGGGCATCAGGGGTCACGGGGTAATTCATAGGTTATTGGAAGCAATATCTACAAGTTGTTACCATGGGGCGCTTAGGAGATGGAGAACGAGACCCAATGCTGGGGGATCACCCCTACCTTGGATCTCATCCCTTAACTCAAATGATTTTTTACAGACTTTTCTTCTCCTTTTTCTTGCTCTTCTCCACTTCATCAGGTGTGGGAGCCATGTTGAAAGGATAAAAGGCTGACTTTGTGCCAGTACAGTATATCCCCCCAATCCCATGCCCGTTGTTGTTGTGGCAGGGCTTAGGAGATGGGGACTGAAACACAATATAGATCACCCTTGCCTTGGGCCTCATCCCTCACTTCAACTAATTTTTCAAGGCCTTTTCTTGACCTTCCTTTCCTTCTCTTTCCTTCTCCATTTCTTTTCTGCATTGTATTCAGGCTCACCATGGCCAATAATGAAGATTCTTTACCCTTAATAGGGGCATCAACTAGCCTATCTGATTTAGATTTTTATGGTTTTCCGACCTCTGCCCCTCCTTTGACTACGGATCTGACCGCGGATATTATTTACCCCTTCTCAACATTTACTGACAACTCTATATCCATTCTGAACCACCCTTATTATCTTTATTATAGGCCAAAATATATAGGGAAGAGAATCCAATTATTATACACCAATATCTAATAAGAAGACTTTAATAAATATATCAATAAAGAAAAATCAGCACCAATATTGATTGCAATAGTAAAAAAAGGCCTTTTTCATGCAAAATCAAGGAAAAGTGAAATCAGGCAAGTCACAAGGTCTACTAATTGACTCCTTCGTGTCTAAGCACTTGCAGAGATGTCTATGAGCATAAACGTTTCATAAATCAATACTACAGTGAATACATTTTCCTTTAGGGACTCTGGGTTAGCCAAGATAATACTAGGCCCATGACTTCCCAAGGCCATTCAGGACTGAAAAAAAACATCCTTTCAGCAAGGCTCTTGCACCTTAGGAAGTGGACAGAAGGGATTAGAGAAAAGGAAAAGAAGAGGGGTAGAAGAAAAGAGCATGCAAAATTAGTTGAGGCAAGGGCTAAGGTCCAAGGTAAGGGTGATCCCCAACATTAAGCATGTCTTTATTTCCTGTGCCCCAAACCATAACAATGAGCATGAGATTTTTTTTATTTCTTTAGGGGGGGGGTCAATGAATAGGATAATCTATAATCAGTCGTACATTACACCAGAAAGATGGTCTCCAAGAGTTCTGCAGTAAATATTGTGAGATGGCTAATTAAAAGACCAATTATAAGTTGTTTCATTTATGTATGTAAACTTTTACAATATTTCATTACAAATTGTAGATGCAGAAATAAATATAATCATATAATTGTATCGTTTCAAAAACCACTCTTCTCAGTGAGAAAATTCACATCAATCTTATTCACTATTTGGCAGATTTTTATAAAGTTACAATGGAGTTACAATACAAGTTATCATTCTCATACTTTGTATAAGAGTATAAATAGCAAACAAACACTCAATGCATATAAAAATTGCATCAGCGGTATTTAGAGATCCAAAAAGTTAGCATTTTATATGTCACAGAGAAAAGATGTTGGTATAGATAGCTGGGTGATACAAAGATGGATTTGGTATTATTGCTTTATCTAGCTATGTAATTTTTATCACATTAGTTTATCTTTTCTGTTGTCTGGATGTTTTTCTGTGAGAAATGAGTTTACATGAACAATGTATGTATAGAACTTTCAGTGTAATTCCATTATTGTTCACTGATCTCACTCATCGCTTAAAATATTACTGCTAAAATACTTGTTTAATGTTACTGTTGATATACATGGTCCATAACGAATGGCAATCAATCTTCATAGATACCTGCACTTACATCTATATCACCCAGCTGCCAGGCATGACTATACCCATCATAGAAAACATCCTTCATGTCGGTCACATGTAATTGCATCATGAATGGGAAGGGTCGGCTGTACACTGCGAACCCCCTGCTGATAGGGCTAGACGGTTGCCAGTAGTCACCAGAATGAGTGCCACACAGAAAATTCTGGCACCATCAGTATAGGGATATAATGCAGAGATACTGAAGATATTGAAAATTTGCAAACCTCAGAGTATGATGAAATGTGTTAATTGGGGAAATGCTGACACTGCAGTCCTAATTAAACATTTCAAGGTTACTTAGGTCAAGCAGATATCAATGTAGTCTATACACAAAATAGACTACAAAGTTCACTGATCATATGATTATATTTTCAATGGATTCACACACACAAAAAA